GAGGTCAAGAGATTGAGACCATCCTGACCAACATGGTGAAACCCCGTCTCTACTAAAAATACAAAAATTAGCTGGGCGTGGTGGCATGCACCTGTAGTCCCAGCTACTCAGGAGGCTGAGGCAGGAGAATTGCCTGAACCTGGGAGGCGGAGGTTGCAGTGAGCCAAGATTGTGCCACTGCACTCCAGCCTGGCGTCTGGTGACACAGAGTGAGACTCTGTCTCAAAAAAAAAAAAAAGAGAATACTTGCCAAAGAAAAAGGCTAAAAAAGAATTAATAAATAAAAAGAATGCCTCTAAGATTTTCCTATTGAGTACAGATGCATCACATTTCCTCCTATTCCTGTTTGTGAAAAGGTTTTGTTTTCCTTCTTAAATTATAAACAGATGTGGAATTTTATTAAATGCGTTTGATCTCTCTGCTGAGATGAATATAGCTTTTTTTTTTTATTTTTTGACATAGAGTCTTGCTCTGTCACCCAGGCTGGAGTGCAGTGGTGTCACCTCGACTCACTTCAATCTCCGCCTACCAGGCTCAAGCAGTTCTCCTGCCTCAGCCTCCCATGTAGCTGGGATTACACGCACTCATCACAACGCCTGGCAAATTTTTTTTTTTTTTTTTTTTTTTTTACTAGAGACGGGGTTTCACCATATTGGTCAGGCTGGTCTCAAACTCCTGACCTCAAGTGATCCACCTGCCTCAGCCTCCCAAAGTGCTGGGATTACCGTGTGAACCACCACATCTGGCCAATGTTTATTTATTTTTTAATTGATGTATAATATTTGTAATATATATTTTGTGGTACATATGATATTTTGATACAAGTATGCAATGAGTGATGAACAAATCAGGGTAATTGGGATACCCGTTATTTCAAACATTTATCTTTGTGTTAGGAACATTCCAATTCTTCTCTTCTAGGTATTTTGAAATATACAATAATTATTATTAACTATAAACACTCTACCTTAAGTTTTCTTCTTTAATATCTTAATACAGTCAATTATATAAATATATTCTATTTTTAAACAGATGAATTAAAAACATATTTGTCTCAAATTCTCTTTTGCTTTCTGAAATATCCAGATTCTTATCTCCCATTGTTGTCTGTGCTAACTGAGCTTCTCAGAA